ATACCGCAGCTCCTTCTGAAGTAATACCAACATACAACATGCATAACGCATTTTCAATTTCTGCTCTAAAAAAAAAAGGTCAAAATAGCGCGGACAAAAGAGCGCAGGTCAAAAGACCGCACGGACAAAAGATCGCAGGGTCAAAAGAGCACACGGATAAAAGAGCGCCCGGCCAAAAGAGAGCACGGGCAATAGAGCGCTCGGGCAAAAGAGTGCATATTTTATAAAATACAAGAAACACATGAAATAAAACTTTTTTTTAAATAACTATCTACATCGGATTACTTAATAACAACAATTTCGAATGGAAATGAAAATAACCAAAACTCAAGGAGAAAATTCTCGGGAAAGGAAATTGAATTAATATTAATTAAGGAATTGCAGACTTACCCAAACTTACCGATAATAACCCGGCCGTCTAATGCAATTTAGTCCTCGTAGGTTAGCATTTTATTTGAAAAACCAAACGCGCTCAAGGGATATTATACACTATAACTAAGTTAATTTAAGTTTATTTTTTGAAGAATGAAATAGTAATTTATAAGAATTAGATCACACTAGGCACTAGGCGGACGAGTTATTATCGGTTAGCCTGCATTTTCTCAATTAGTATGCTAATGAACGTTAATTTATAGGTAATATAATTGTGCTCTTGGCGATTTCATATCGAATTTTAAGGGAACAATCAATGCGCACTTATTACGCTCTTTTGACCCTGCGCTCTTTTGTCCGTACGCTCTTTTGACCCGGTGCTTTTTCGTCCGTGCGCTCTTTTGACCTTGTGCTCTTTTGTCCGTGCGCTCTTTTGTTCGTGCGCTTTCTTGTCCGTGCGCTATTTTGTTCTGCGCTCTTTTGACCTGCGCTCTTTTGTACCAGCGCCGAAGAGTACTGTAGTGCACTACAATCCTCACAACAAATGGTATCAAAAGAGAAACAACGTACTATTGACATTGACAGAAATTCAATAAAACTTGTACGTAATCAGCATGAAATACAATTTCCATGGAAAAAGAACCACCAAATTCAAGAAAAATGGCCATGCAGCGGCTACTTTGTTTAGAACGAAAATTATCAAATGACGAAAATTCAGCAAAACGTGACAGGTAAAAAATGGAAAAGATTTTCGACAACAACAGTTAAAGAAGCAGTACACCACACCCAAAATAGGTGATTTCGAGATTAGAAATGTCACTCCCAATTCCATCGAAGTGGCTATTGCACCAGGATTGTTTTCAGAGCATGATTTATATGTAAAAAAACATGGAGATTATGTCGATATCACACAGACGTTTTCTGGAAGAGATGGCTAAAAGAATATTTACTTAGCAGATCAAATCATACGACCCCAATGGAACCAAGTGTTAATGTTACAATTCATAAATGTGAACATCGAGATGTTCCGCGAACATACCCCAAATTTATGTATGACTTTTCGACATCCTGTCATTAGTGTCAGTAGTTGTGGTTATTAAAGTTGTCAGCTGCAAGTGCATATTTTGTTTATCAGAATAAACCTTTTGTAATTGTATTAAATAAAAGTCTTTAAAACAAAAGCCTCTGGTTAATAGGTTATGGGCCCAGTAACCAGGCAGTCGCGGAAATAGAGTAGTTCGCGGAAAATCGTTTCAAAGTAGAATTTATCGTCGGTGGCAAAAAAAAAAAGGGTTAGGTGAGTCGAAAACCAGTGTAAAAATGGCATCAAGTAGTGGAACAATTACCGTGAAACCTTTCGATGGTTCTAGACCCACAGTAATTGGGAATTTCGAGTGAAATTACTACTTGAACACCATGATGTTCTGGGAGTCTTGACGGAGGATCCGCCAACAGCAACAGATATAACAGCACTCAGCGCATGGGAGAAAAAAGATCTGAAAGCACGAAATTTGATCGTTCAATGTCTAGCGGACAATGGTCCTGGAGATGATTAAATTGAAAATCACAGCTAAGGAAATTATGGAAACCTTAAGCGGAATTTATCAGAAAAGTGGATTGGCTATACCTACAGGTGCAACTTCAGTGCAAGTTGAGGAATATGAAATTCAACTCAGCTGAATCGTTGAATGCTTTTCTGATAGAATTTGAGAAAACGGTCATGGAACTAAAGAATTGTGGTGGGACCATAAGCGACACAGAAGTGATAACCCAACTTTTGGCAGTCATGCCAGAAAAGTATCAAACTGTGACCACAGCAATTGACATTTACTTTTGTCAGAATTGGGCAGCTGTTACCCTAGATTTTGTCAAGAGCAAGTTGCTATTAGAAGAGTCTAGACAAAAGAAATGTGATAATCATATGGTGAAAGTTCCACACAGGCTTTCGGAGCACAGAAAAAGAAAGGCACGCAGAAGGGAATTTTTTTATTTAAATGCTATGGATGTGGCTTATGAGGACATGAGAAATCGGATTGTTTCAAGAATAAGCAAAAACCAAAATAAATATCCAAAAAGAAATGCAAATGTTGCTGAAGACCAGGAAGTAACTTTTATTAAATGCTTAACCTCAAAAAATTGTAACTCTGGAAATAGTACTATTGATTTTGTAGTGGATAGTGGAGCAACAAAACCACTTGGTGACACAAAATTTGGAAAAGTATGGTAGATACAAAGAAAGTTCAGCATTACATTAAAGTTGCTAAACAAGGCGTTTCTGTTGAAGCACACATAGAAAGAACACTGCACTTAAAAACTAAGAATGGATTTAACATCAAATTGCAAAATGTTCTAATATGTAAGAATCTCTGGCATAATCTATTATCTGTGAAGAAAATAGAAGGGAAAGGCCTGAAGATAATCTTTGAGAAAATGAAACAGCTTTAGGAAAATTGATGGGAAACTTGTATATTGTGAACTTTGAAATAACAGAAATGCAAGCAAATATCACAGTGCAAGAAAAAGATAATTTACACCGAAGACATTCGTCCAAGTATCCTTATTCGAAAATCTGTGAAATCTGTATACAAGGAAAACAGACGAAAACCATGTCATTTGTACAATTCCCAGAAGAGAGAAAGGCGAAAAGAATAATAGAAGTGATTTGTAGTGATTTTTGTGGGCCTATAAATCCAGTAACGCATGATGTGATTTATTTTATGACATATAAGAGTGAAGTTTGCCAGAAATTTAAAGAATACATAGCAATGGTTAAGAACAAATTTGGTAAATTACCTGAAAGAGTAGTAGAGTGACAATGGCGGAGAGTTTATTTCTCACGAAATGAAGAATTATTGTAAACAAAATGGTGCAAAGTTAGAATACGCAATACCAAGGACCCCCCGAACAAAATGGAACGTTACAATAGAACCCTCTTAGAAAAAGCAAGATGCTTGGTTTTTGAGGCAAATATGAGCAAAGATTTTTGGAAAGAGGCTGTTACCACATCAGCATTTCCCTACATCTGTTTTATCAGAGAATAAAACTCCATCTGAAATTTGTCACAAGTTTTTGGTTGGTCAGCACATGTACTTACATATTCCAGTATAGAGGATAGACATGGAAAATTGGATCCCAGAAGCCGTAAGATGTTCTTAGTGGGATATACTGATAATGGATATCGTTTATGGGACCCAAATTCCAGAAAAATAGTGATCGCCAGAAATTTCATTTTTGATGAAAGTAAAATGATGGGTGGAGAAACAAGAGTGAAGGAGAATGAGATGAGAATATGTGAGAATGAAAATGAAGAGAATGAATCTGAATTCGATGGTGAAAATCAAAGTGAAAATGATGAAATGGAAAATAATGATGGGAACGCACAAGAAAATAACAATGGAAGAAGAGTAACAAGGCACAGAGTGTTACCTAAACGCTATAATTATGAAATGATGATGGCTTCATCAATTGGAGATTTCTCAACTGAAGTTCCAGACACCTATCAGGAAGCTGTAAAAGATAGTGGATGGAATGAAGCAGTACATCAAGAGTTATTATCATTGAAGAAAAACAACACATGGAAACTAGTGCCTAAATCAAGTATTCCAGATCATGAAAAAGTTATCGATTCTAGATGGATTTTTCGTGAAAAAGATGTTAATGGTGAGAAAATAAAGAAAGCAAGATTCGTGGCTAGCGGATACCAACAAACAGACTTAAGTGAAGTAGTGTAATTACCGGTTGCAAAAATGCACACATTATGTATCTTGTTATCTTTAAGTGTTCAAGAAGATATGGAAATACATAAGCTTGATGTAAAGTGCGCATTTTTGAATGGAGACTCAAAAAAACTAGTGTACATAAAAAAACCAGATGGACTTAAACCCGATTATGACTCAAAAGTATGTAAATTAGAGAAAGCACTATATGGACTTCGTCAATCTCTAAAATGCTGGTATGAAAAACTGAATTTTTACTTATTTATATTAGGTATCCGAAAAATATTTAAACTAATTACATGCTAGTTGTTGACGACATGGTAGTCAACACCGTGGGGGATAATGTTGATAAAAACAAGGAATAAGTGAATAATTACACCTTTAGTTTTATCTTACCTATTTATTGTTAATACCTCTTTTAAAATAATGTTTATGTCAGAGTTGAAATAAAATTCATAAAAATATATTGCGTATCATAATTAATACATAAAAACTAAGCTAAAGAAAGAGATACATAGTCAAAGAAGAGTGATTTCCAGTAACACACTATTCTCAACGCTTGACTACCATGATAAAAGGGTATTTTTTTGAAAAATGTAACTAACTCCATCATCCTTTAACCAACATGAGGGTCACATAAAATTTTCAAGACACAAAACAATTTATCCACGACACAGAAAAGTTACGTAAACTAACACGGTAGCAACGGCCTTTCAACAAAGTGTTGTAATCACAGGAAAATGAATCAGCAAATTTGTCGGCTGCACGCCCGTGCTCTGTCATGCAAAAACTTATCTGTTCCTTCCCATAGGAATATTACGATATTTATCGAGTGAGGAAATCGGCAACAGGTTGCCAGCTGTTTAGTTTAATTATTATTTTTTAATATTTAATTAAATCAAATTGACTTACCTGATTTGAATAAGGTTGCAAGCTCAACTTCACTCCGTCCTGCGCCAGGTTTTCTTTCAGCAACCCCTTCAGTTGCATTCTTGGTATTTTAACCAACTCCGCCTTCCCTTCTTCGTACTCGTCCAAATACCTGGCAACCTCTTCCATAGGGGCACTCGGTGCCTTATCACTACCCGAAGCCCGCGAACCATTACTGTGTCTATCTGGCTCACTTAAAAAATGTTGTTCGATAGGAAACGAAGGTTCCTCGTCGCCACCTCCACCCCCAGCGGAAGTACTCTTTTCAGCTTCTTCCAGGCTAAAATAGACGCTGGCTGCGCCTTCTTCGCGTAGCGTCCGGACGCTTTGGAGTAGACGCGCGCGATGAGACGGATTGAAGACGCCGATCGCGTCCAAATCTGGATCGCCGATTTGCTTGCAGATTTCCAGGTCGTCGTAGCCGTTGTCGATGAAACTTTCCGAGTACTTTCCCAGGCGCAGGGATATTAGCCATTCGGTTACTATGTTAGTTGCCATGAGAATTTCAAACTATTTAGTTTCTCTTTTTGTAAAGTTCACATTTTCTGGTTGTATTTGGTGGTTTACCTATGTCCTGAAAAAAAAAAGAACATGTTTATTGTATGTTTCAGTATAGGACAACCGAGGGGTAGTTAACTCCCCAAAATGTGTACACAGATTTTAAATCTTCATTGATTTTGTAGGATTTTGAGGATTTTGAAAATGTTCACATGATTTTACAGGATTTTAGGTGATTTTGGAACATTCATTTTAGGGAAGTTAGAAGGGTTTTTAGATCCTAAAGGATTTTTAGAGATTTTAACGGATTTTTGGGGATCCCAAAGGATTTTTGGGAATGTTAAAGGAATTTTTTTATAAGGAATTTTTTGCTGGATTTTTTTTTTGTTCTAATAAAATTTTGTTAGATTTTTAAAGATTTTCAGAGATTTTAAGTAGATCTTACGAGTTTTTCTGGGATTTTGACCAACTTGTATAATACAAATTTTCATCAATTAACTGCTTCGAAGTTTAGTTAACTCCATAAAATGTGTACATAATTAAATCTTTATTGATTTTGTAGGATTTTGAGGATTTTGAAAAACTTCACGTGATTTCACAGGATTTTAAAAGATTTTAGATTTATCAGAATTTAGGTAATTTTGGATCATTTCAGGGAATTAAGAAAGGGTTTTTATGGCGTTATTACCAACTAATTTAGGGGAGCCTTAATGATAAGTATTTTTTAAACTGACATTGACAGACAACATGACAGTAATTTTAAGGAATACTTATTGTTGAAGCTCCCCTAAAATCGTTGGTAAAAACGGCCATTATAGAGATCCTAAAGGATTTTTAGAAATTTTAACGGATTTTTAAGGATTCCAAAATTCCAAAGGATTTTTGGGAAATTTTAAAAGAATTTTTTTTTTTGGAATACATATTAATGATTTTATAAGATATTGCCGGATTTTTTTCGTTCTAATAAAACTTTGTGTGATTTTGTGAAATTTTATGCGATTTCAAATGATTTTTAAGGGATTTTGTGAGGTTTTGTTAAATTTTTAAAGATTTTCAGAGATTTTAAATATATTCTACAAGTTTTTCTGCACTTGTACACAAATTTTGACCAATCAACCGCTCTGAGGTTTAGTTAACTCTAAAATAATGAACACATATTTTTTAATTGATTTTGTAGGATTCTGGGAATTTTGAAAATCTTTACACGATTTTACAGGAGTTCAGAAGATTTTAGATTTTACAAAATTTTAGGTGATTCTGGAACATTTTAGGGGTTTTTGAAAAGTTTTTAGAGATTCGTAATTCAAATAACAAATTTAAATGGAAAAACGGAAATTCCTAGACATTTTACTATAGGATTTCATAATACTTTTCCAAATTTCATCATAAAATTCTATGGAATTCCACCATAAAATTCAATGGAACTCTTAAACAAAAGTTCCTCGGAATTAGGAAGGTACACTTCTTATGAGATTTCATGAAAATCTTCGACATTCCATTAAAATTTCAAGTTATTCTATGGGAATTCTGAGAAAATTTTTGTTAATTGCATAAAAATTCCTTTAGAATTTCACTGGAGGATTTTATGGAATTCCTCGAAATTCTATTCAAGTGACAAATTTGAATAGAAAAACAGAAAGTCTTAGAAATTTTACCATAAGATTGCATAATACAATTCCGAATTTCACCATAAGATTCCATGGAATTCCACCATAAAATTCAATGGAATTCTTGTACAAAAATTCCTCGGAATTACTGTAAAAGATTTCAGGGAATTTCTTGGAATTCCACTAAAATTTTATGTAATTCGACAGAAATTACTCAGAATTTCACTAAAATTTAATTTATTTCTTCGAAATTCCGTCGAAATTTCTCGTGATTCCATGGAAATTCCACGGAAATTCTGTTTAATTTCAAGGGAGTGCTTCGGATTTCATGTAATTTCAGTGGAATTCCACAATAAGATTTCAAGGAATTCCACGTATGTAATTCGCCGAGAATTCCTTGGAATTTTACTCGACATTCCATCGAAATTTTATGTAAGTTGACACAAAGTGAAATTATATATAATTTGATGGAAATTCCAAATTCCATAATTTTTTTAAAACTTTACTGAAATTCTCCAAAACTTCAACACTGACATATCCTGGAATTCCACAAAATTTTCATAAAATTTCACTGACATTTCCTGTAATTTCTTAGAAATTCCTCGGAATTTCACTAAAATTTTATGAGAATTTTTTGAAATTTCATCGAAATTCCACGTTATCAGTCGAAAATTTCTCGAAATTAAATAAATAATAACTTCAAATTTTGTTTTCAAAATTTCATTTATTTCTATAAGAATTTTTCGGAATTTCACTGAAATTCTCTTTCAATAGTCTGGAATTTCTGGGAATTACATGGGAATTTTTCCAAATTTTACCGAAATTCCAAGTTTTTAGCCGGAAATTCCTCGGATTTTCACTTGCGAAATTTTCTCTAATTTTACTAAAATTCAGTAATTCGATGGAAATTTTTCGGAATTTGAATTTCATTGAAATGCCATGTTTTTAACAGGGAATTCTTTGGAATAAAAATAAAACTTCATGTAATTACATTAGGCTTTTCCGGAATTTCACTGGAATTCCTTATGAAACGATAAGAGTTGTTCAACATTCCTCTTAAATTTCATGTAATTCCCTGATAATTCCTTGGAATTCTATGCAATTGTATCGGAACTCCATATAATTCGACGAAAATTCCTCGGAAATTATGTAATTTTTTGAAACTTTTTTAAAATTCTTTATATAATTTAACGAGCACTGAAATTTCATGTTGGGAATTTCGTTGTAATTCAATGTAATTATTTAGAATTCCTCCATGCAACTTATTCAGGATTTTATGTAATTCGATCGAAATTCCACTGAAATTTCATGTAATTTCTCGAAATTTCATGTAATTCGAGAGGAACTAAAATTCAATGTGAATTCTATGGAACCTCCGCAAAAATTTCACATGTCCCATTTCACACCATAAAATTCGATAGAGTTCTTGGAATTTTTTTAACTTCGGAATTACAATATGAGATTTCATGAAATTCTTCAGTATTCCACTAAAATTTTAAGTTATTCCATGGGAATTCCGCGAAAATTTTAGTTAATTCCATAAAAATTCATTAGAATTTTACCAGAAGATTTTATGGAATTCCTCCAAATTCCATTCAAGTGTTTGAATAGAAAAACGTAAATTCTTAGAAATTTTACTATAAGATTTCATAATACTTTTCCGAATTTCATCATAGGATTCTATGGAATTCCACCATAAAATTTAATGGAATGCCTGTACAAAAAATTTTCGGAATTATACTATGAGATTTCATGAAATTCTTCGGAATTCCACTAAAATTTTAAGTTATTCCATGGGAATTCCGCGAAAATTTTAGTAATTCCATAGAAATTCCTTAGAATTTCACCAGAAGATTTTATGGAATTCCTCGAAATTTCATTCAAATGGTAAATGAGAATGGAAAAACGGAAATTCCTAAAAATTTTATTATAAGATTTCATAATATTGTTCCAAATTTCACCATAAAATTTTATGGAATTCCACAATAAAATTTTATGGAATTCTTGAACAAAAATTCCTTGAAATTACGCTATGAAATTTCATGAAATTCTTCGGAATTCCACTAAAATTTTAAGTTATCCCATAGGAATTTCGCGAAAATTTTAAGTAATTCCATAGAAATTCCTCAACATTTCACCATAAGATTTTATCGAATTCTTAGACAATTTTTTTTCGGAATTACAGTATAGAATTTCATGAAATTCCTCGCAATTTCACTAAAATTTTAATTTAAAAATTCCATAAAAATATATACAGGGTGTCCCACGACGTTTCTCCCAGATGATAACTTCGGAACGCGTCATCCAATATAGTTGAAATTTTGAGGATCTGGGTAACTTTTTGTGTCGCTTCTACCATTATCATCCAATTTTACCATTTTTGCTTCAATTTCGGTCAAGTGACGTCAACTTTCGAATCTTAAATGTAACTCATGGTATATTATGGTATTTTTCGTTAGAAAATTAAATTACAAAATCGGCTAAGCCATATTTGTTGAGGCTTTGTTAAAGGATATGACAGAAAATTATACAGTGGAACATACGATGATGCGTTCCGAAATGATCATTTGGGAGGAACCTCGTGGGACACCCTGTATATATATATATATTTTTTTTTTTTAACTTTACTGAAACCCCAAAATTTCACCACTGAAATATCTTGGAATTCCACAAAATTTTCATAAAATTCTTCGGAATTTCATTGACATTTCATGTAATTTCTTAGAAATTCCTCGGAATTCACTGAAATTTTATGAGAATATTGTGAAATTCCACGTTCATGGCCGAAGATTTCTCGAAAGTCCAAGGAGACTTCAAGGAACTTTCCAAAATTTCATTTATTTTCATAAGAATTTTTCGGAATTTCACTGAAATTCTCTTTTAATAGCCAGGAATTTCTAGGAATATTAATAAAACTTCAAGTAATTTCTTGAAAATTCACCGAATTTTCATGTGATCACATGGGAATTTTTCGGAATATCATTGTAATTCCGTGTTTTTCGCCGGAGGAATAGCATTCAGTGGAGTTTTAGTGAATTTTACTAAAATTCAGTAAGAACTGAAATTTCATGGTGGGAATTTCGGTGAAATTTTGAAGGAAACATTTTTTAGGAATGTTAATGATTTTATAAGATTTTGCAGGATTTTTTTGGTTTTAAAGAAATTTTGTTAGATTTTGTAGGATTTAATGCAATTTTAAGAGATTTTCAGGGATTTTCAGTAGATCTTATGAGATTTTCTAGGATTTTGACCAACTTGCACAAGGATTTTGACCAGTTAACCACCCCTCGCGGACAACCTATTGAAAAGATGAGATAAATATTTCATACAAGCACTATATACAATGCAGCGTCTTGTAGCCTATGCTTAGTTTAGGTTATTTACAGATATACACATTTCTCTTTGCAAGTGTCTACCTACATTGGAAGGCGGGCAACTTCCTGCACTATTGTTCCCTATGGAGTAGATT